ACCAGTCGGGTCAACAATAATTTTAAAAACATGTATTTAAGTGTATTAACTAATTGATTAAGTAAATTAAGATAAGCAAATAAAGTAATTAGAGAAACTAAGCTAATTAAACTAAAATAAGTAAATTAAGTGAACTAAGTATTTGATTAAGTCAATAAAGTAAATTAAGCTAAGCAAATAGAGTAATTAAATAATTAAAACTAATTAAGGTAAACACACAAATTAGGTTACTATTAATTAAACAAATTAAGTAATTAAAGAAATTAAGAGTTACTAAATTAACTAATTAAGTGATTGTTAATTTATTATTAGGTAATCTAATTAAGTTAATATTTATGTAATAATTTATTCTTAATTATTATTGATAATTATTAATTTAATAACTTTTAATTTGATAAAATCCTTGAAGTAATTTACTTCAACCATAATATTTTTTTTTTAACCAATACATCCAAAGTGACATTTTAACCTTTCTCGTTTCAGAAGACAAGAACGTATAAAACGTTCATTCAACAAACGGTAATGGAGCCAAACCAAACGTCCTCTTATTTTGCTCTATGAAATCATCACCGGTCATTTTTCTTGCTTTCCACGTTGGCGTGGAAAATAATGAATTCATTAATATTATCTCAAAATACAAAGGGTTTAGAGTCCAAAACCTCTTTTCCCAAGAAAACAAATCCCATTCACCGTCAGAGATTCCTGGTATCCAATTTCGTTTTCTCAGGTCACCCATTAGGCCATTAGCCCATTAGATTCGCTGATTCGCTAAGAGATTTTGTGAAAAGAAAGAGGAATCTTTCGTGTTTGAATAAAAATGCATCTGTGTCGTCAGTCAGTCGCCCTTTTATCTCTAGCTTCCACGAAGTATACTATCAGCATGTGAGCATGCATTCTCCCCTCCACTGCTTAAATAATGCATTCTCTTCCCATCTCAAACCCCTCAAAAATCAAAAGCCAAAATCTGTCTCAGTTTAGCAGCAGCTGTAAGTGTCAGAAGAAGAAAAGGAAGAGATGGAAAATTGGCATATCAGAGGGATACTCAACATGATCATGGGTGCTCTTGATGCCAAAGACCCCAGGCCCACTATCCCTCTTGGTCATGGCGATCCCTCTGTTTTCCCCTGCTTTCGGACGACTCCAGTTGCTCAAATATTTCTTGAAGACTTGAATTGCCATATGATCATTACCTGACATGATAATGTCGTCCACATAAACGAGAACAAGCACATGCACCCTATCTCGACGAAAGGTGAACAGTGAGTAATCTAAACATGATTGCTGAAACCCATATGTCTTCAAGGCTACGATTAATTTAGCAAACCAACATATCGGCGCTTGTTTCAAGCCATACAGAGATTTTCGCAACCGACACACCATACCTGGTTTATCTGACTGAAAACCAGGAGGCATTCGCATGTATACTTCCTCATGAAGGTCACCGTGCAAGAATGCGTTATGTACGTCCATTTGATGAAGCTCCCAATTTCTAGCTGCTGCGACTGCAAGAAAGGTACGAACAATAACCATTTTTGCAACTGGGGCAAAAGTTTCATTATAATCAATTCCCTCAACCTGCTTGTTCCCAAAAATCACGAGACGGGCTTTGTATCTTTCCACTGTCATCAGCGTTATACTTGATTCGATACACCCATTTGCATCCTATGGCTCATTTTCCGGATGGCAAAGGCTTCGCGGTCCATGTCTGATTATTTTCAAGTGCCTGTATTTCTTTCTGCATTGCATCCCTCCATTTTTCATCCTTTACGGCCTCAGCAAAAGAAGTAGGTTCAACTCCTACAGTAATAGCTGCCAAGAAAGTGCGATGTCGACAAGAAAAATTGTTACAGTTCATATAGTTATCTATGGGATAAGGACTACCTGCAGAATGTGATTGGCCGAGTGAGCTTGCAAAGGGACGCGAAGAGGGACTCAATCGCTGTGTGGTGTGAAGCACATAATCTCTCAACCTTGTGGATTGCTGTTTCTATCGATGCCCATGCCCCAAATGAAATTCAGAGTACTGTTGTTGCTCAACATCACCACCCCCCTTACGTCAGAACTGTCTTCACTTGCATTTTCTGTGGTGGCGTCACAAGAATGCATGGGTTCACCAACATTTGCATTCGGGTCTACGCGGGTTCCTTCTTCTACATGGATTCCTTTTTTAACGAGTTCACCTCGCTGGTCAATCTCTATATCGCCATTTGCTTGACCTAGTAAATTAGTGGATGACACCAACACCTCATCTGTCCCACCTATTCCACAATGAAATTGGCCTTGTGCTTTGTTTGGCTGTTCATCCTCCTTGCGTGCATAAGGGAATTCATCATCTAAAAAAATAACATCTCTTGATGCAAAGAACGTGTCGGACTCTAAATCATACAAGCTCCATCATTTTTTACCAAAAGGATACTTAACAAAAACACATCGTCTGCTTCGACTGACAAATTTATCCCCTCCATTTCCATGATTGTGCGCATATGCCAAAAACCAATAACCCGCACATTATCATAAGAAGGAGGTCACCCAAATAAAACTTCATAGGGAGTCTTTCCTTTCAACAGAATGGACGGTGTCCGATTGATCAAATAACATGCGGTCAATACACATTCCCTCCAAAAATCAATAGGCATGCTAGCTTGAAAACGCAATGCTCGGGCAACATTGAGTATGTGGCGGTGTTTGCGTTCAACCCTCCCGTTTTGTTGAGAGGTCCCGACACAAGTGGTTTGATGAATAATACCATGCTGAGCAAAATAACTAGCTAAGCAGACAAACTCAGTCCCATTATCACTACGAATCACTTTGACAAGTTTGTTAAATTGCCTTTGAACCATAGCAAAAAAATTTCGAAGAACTTGTCCCACTTCTGTCTTATCAATCAGAAGATAAATCCAAACACCTCTAGAAAAATCATCTACTATTGTCAAGAAATAATGAGCACCACAAGAAGCTGCAGTTCTATAAGAACCCCATAAATCACAATGAATTAACTCAAAAATATTGGATTCTTTATTATTGCTAGAAACAAACTCTTCTCGACATTGTTTAGCTCGGAAGCATACATCACAACCCTTAATACTGTCATCCTTATTTTTAGTACTAACAAAAGGCAGCAACTTAACAATTTTATGAGAATGATGCCCTAACCTTTGATGCCAAATATCACACGTCCTGCTCTCTGTAGTCTTCATTGCTCTTGCTAATGCAATGCTCCGAAAATAATAGAGTCCCTCTCGCTGCTCACCCGCTCCAATCAACATCTTCGTAGTTCAGTCCTGTATCATACAGAATTTATTAGTGAACTGAACAACATAATTTGAGTCCTCAATCAATTGCAACACAGAAATTAGATTGCAATTCAAACTAGGCACATATAAAACATTTGTCAGTTTCAGATGATCGTCCAATGCAACTGTGCCTTCTTTCTTTGCTATTGTCGCTTTCCCATCTGGTAGCCCAATAGAGCATGGAATGACGTTCTTTATGTCTCTCATTGACTTGAGGCTTCCTGTCATATGGTAAGAAGCCCCTGTGTCTATTATCCACTCTGTCAATTTTTGCTTACCACTTAGTTGTTGACTCCCCTCTTTCTGTGTGTTCAAAATGTTGAGTAACATGTTTCATTGCTCACTACTTAGTCCATTTAACCCAGTCTTGACTGCATCAATTGATTCTCCTTGAAACACATTGCCTTGCATAGAGACTTTGGCTCTATTGGCACTGACTTGGCCGCCACGACCTTTTCCTCCTGCCCCTGCTCCTTGTTTCTGTTCACCCTATTCTTTTTCTTTGTTTTCAGCCACAAAAGACAAAAGACAAAGAACCGATCCGGATCTCCCTAAAGAGACAATCCTCCTCGGCGGCTGCGACTATGAGCATTGGCTCATCGTCATGGAATTCCCCAACGACCCTAAACCCTCCAAAGACGAGATGATTGCCACATACGTCAAGACCCTTCTGTAGAGGAAGACCGAAGAACTCTGCTCCGTGCGGTTCCCTTCTCTGAAACTGACCCACCGAACCCTTATGCTTCCTCTGAATTTGAGTTTGTGCCTCTTCCTACTTTCGATGCCTGATTTCTTCTCCGACGATCTTACCTCTGAATTTGATCCAGTGGCCGTCCCCTCAGTGTTTTACGAGTCAAAAGCCGACGGAGAACAAGCTGGAGCCGTAGAGGATGAAAGACCGAGCTCGCCAAGAAGCTTAATTTACAGCCGAGACAAGTCGCTGTTTGGTTCATAAAATAGTCGCGCTCGTTGGAAGACTAAGCAGCTCGAAAGATATTACGATCTTCTCAAGTCCTCGTACAACTCTCTCCTCTCAGATTATGAATCCGTTGTCAAGGAGAACGAAAAACTCAAATCTGAGGTGATCTTTTTGAATGATAAGCTGCAGGCTAAAGAAGCGGCGGGAGAGGCGGTGGTGGTGGAGCAGAAAGCCGACCCACCACCTTTGACTGCTTCCAACAGTGAAGCTGTCTCTGTAACTGCAAAGATGGAAGACCAGCTGTATTATATTGGTCGGTTTGAGAGATTACCAGGATGACAAAGCCGATGCAAGAAGGTCACCATGCAAGTACAAGCCCGACGAGTCCCAAGCTCTTGAAGGCCTACGACGAGTTGCCTGAGAATACCAGGCTTTGATACCATGTAAAACCAAAGCTTTTCTGCTCGGTTCTTTTCTGTCTATTATTCATTGAGAATTCAAGTATATATATACATGAATACAACCACCAAACTCCTAAGCTTATGATAACTAAAACTCCCAAGTTTATAGGGACTCAATCTTTCCTATCCTATCTAAACTATTCATGATAAGGAAAGAAGATATATACAAAGAGAACGGACTCCTAATCCTAACAGAACATATTTGAAATATGTACACATACTAAAAGGAAATACAATATTTACAAATATAGAGTTGAAGGGCCGGTCATTGCTTAGCGTAATGTCAAAACCTTGGCGCAAGAGTTCATGTAATAATGACCCTTTCTACTAACAAGCACACAAAGAGCTTTGTGATAAGAGGAATTGATTCCTGACGTCTTTGAGCACGGTGACAACTTGTTTCATGTTAATCCTCCTTTTCGGCGACTCCACGGAACATTCCAGAGCTAATTTCAAAATGGATGCAAGACCAGGTCGTACCATTGACAAATCATCCATTTTGCCTTTGATAAGCAGACTCTTATCCACAACCTCCATTACTGCATTTGGAAGTGATGACTTCACCCACTGCCTCAGGCTCATTTCTTCGCCAAACATTTTATTTGTAGGCCTTTTTCTTGTGAATGTCTCCATTAGCATAATCCCGTAGCTGTAAACATCACTGCTTGTTGACGCTCTTCCTTTTAATCCAAACTCTGTTCATGTATCAAACTATCAATACATAGAATGAGAATGAGATTGGAAACAAAAATTTTGAACAATGAAATAGTAAAATCCAAGGGGTTGGGGGGCAGCAATTCAAAACATTGCTGAAAACACTTAAAATGCATACCAAACCTTAATAATGCTTCTTACAATCGTAAGCCTGTCACCAAGGTACAAAAATTGGGCTTGGTTTAAAGGAAATGGGCCTCTAACCAGTTTAGGGCCCACTTACCCTTAATTACTGTTAATACATTATCGAAATCTAGTTTGGGATCTTTTATTTTTTAGGTCTATTAGGCTACATAATGGGGGTAGCTTATCTTCTATATAGCTCATTTGGTTTCAATATTAATAACTTTTATCTAAAAATGGTTAAAAGCCCAAAAATAATGCATAAGTGGATTGTACTTGGTTTGGTTCAATCCAATTACAAATGTCACAAGTTATATTGCTCTTATGGGTGCAACTTCAATAGGTTGGGTCAGGTTAAGGATTGACCCAAGCCCAACCTGAACTGGAGTCTTAAACCTTGAACTCAGACTTAGATTAATTTAATTATGACTAAAACTTCATCTTATATATTTACTAATAATTAAATATTTTAAATATTTAAGTAATATTTATTAAGATTTTAACATTTAATCATTAATAATATAAAATAAATAAAATAAAACACTAACGGATAATATAAAAAAGTAATTCTTTTATTAAGTAATTAACAATAATTTATTATTTTTGTAATAATTAATTCAAATTACTAAATTATTTTTATAACAAATTACTAAAATAAGGATTGATTATTTTAAACAACATTGTATCATTCCTTATAATTTGTAACAAATTACTAAAATGGATTGGATGTAGTGGTACAAGTCGTGTTGGGTTAGGCTAGGTTGAGGTGAAACTTAACTGAGCTATTGAACCCCTATTCCTAACCTTAATCCAACCCAAAGTTTTTTTTGTTTGGTTGGGATTAGTTTGGGATCAGATTGACCCGACTTCATTACTTTCTTTTGCCAAATGTTCTTATTTTATTGATTCATGGGTTGAGGTTGGTTCGGCTTTCATATTATGTATGTAAAATGGACAGGGTTAAATAAGGCCATTACCCAATGTCAGTCCCAGTTGTCTGGGATCACGGGAGGGGTATACTAGATATGGTCCTGACCTTTGTCTGTATTCTTTGTACAAAGTGGCTATGCTCTCAGATTTGAACACCAGCCTGAGATTTTACCATTACACTAAGTAATAGCCCCTAAAAAGTATATAATTATACAGTTTAATCACGTAGGCATAACATTGTAAGTACATTCAGTGAGCATTTAGAAAATTTTTTGACACTTGTCCCTTAAAATACCCCCAGCAGCCTATCCTTGAAAAAGATTAAAAACAACTTTTGACAGTTGTCAAAATACTTATTAAATGTGCTTATTATGCTGTACTTGTAATTATAATGTTTTACAAACTTTTTACTTAATTTAAAATTTTTGACATAGATATATACATTTACATGTATAAATAAATATTTCCATAATATTCATAGATAGAAATATGAATTTTAATTTGAGTTTATGGGTAAGAAATTACCACCCCTACTCCTGATTTAACTCAAGTTTGAAAGGGAAGTGTGTTTCCTAAGCTTAAATGAGTAGCTATTTAATTTGAATAAAGGAGTTTCTTTTATAAATGTATTATCATATTTCTACATTGATCTATTTATGTAAATTACATACAATACATGCACAAACAAGAGTGCAACTCAGGTTGGCCGAAGTTAGCATTTTACACCCCTATGGGCTCAAGCCTTCGGGCCAGGCCCATTCAAATTTTGAGAAAAGCCCAACCTGAGCCCCAGCCAAGTTGATCTTGCTAAAACAGGATTCAGTATTAATTTATAATCTTAGATGGTGTTCTACAATATGAATGTTTTTGCTTTCTTTTTATTTTTGAGATCACCGCATCAGCAAAAAAATTGATCAAATATGTTCTTGAATCGTGTTTTTGTTTTGAGAAACCAAAACAAAAGTTATTTTATTTTAATAACTGTTCATGTTTTTGAAACCATTCAAATGGGGTTTTTAAAATGAAAATAAAATTTGGAGTATAGATATTATATGGTTCATGAAAATGATAAAAGATCATCAGATGAAAACATGTTTTCTTTGGAGTACAGAAATTCAAGGACACATCTTTGGTTTTAGTTTTAAAAAGAAAAAAAAAAAAAAAAAACATACAACCAAGAACATATGCTTCTGCACCTTTGTTCTGAGGACCAATTTATTTTCAATTCAGATGGTTTCAATTTGTTTTTGGAACTCAGAACAAGATAAATAATTGACATTGGAGAACATACTCAAAGTGTGCAACATCTTGACATCTACAAAGAATGTTATATTCCCTAGAATTCTTACAGTAACTTCCTTACGGTAAATAATAGAATTTTAGCAAAGTTAAATTCTTACCTGGAGCAATGTAGCCCATTGTTCCAAGGGTGTTGGTTTGTATTGCAATCTTATTTGCAGTTAATATCTTTGCAATTCCAAAGTCACCAACATATGCTACCAAGTCTTCATCAAGGAGGACATTGCTTGGCTTCAAGTCACAGTGCACTACAGTCTCTTGATAATTGTGATGCAGATATTCCAATGCACAAGCAACATCTATCATAATGTTGATTCTTTGGTGGAGATCTAAGAAATGCTTGTCCGAATATAACCATTTTTCAAGGCTTCCATTTGACATAAACTGCATAACCAGAGCTCTAAAATTGTGGTTAGAGCAAGTGCTGATTATTCTGACAAGGTTTCTATGTCGAACATTGCGCATAACTTGGCATTCTGCACTGAAACTCTTAAGTGTTCTCTCATTTTGCAAGTTCAAAACCTTCACGGCGACCATCACTCCATCAGATAATGTTGCTTTGTATACAGAACCAAAGCTCCCTACTCCAAGTAAGTTTGCAGCATGGAAGTTATTTGTTGCATGAAGAAGCTCTCGGTGCACAATCCTTCTATATCCCATTTGAACTGGTGGATCAACTTGTGGTGGAGCAAGTGACTTACTCATTCTATGTTTTGTTGACAGAAACAAAACAATGATAATAACCAAAGCAATGGTAGGAAGAATCCATTTTTGTAGAAAAGATTTTGTTCCCGACTTCGCAGAAATTATGGTACAGGATGGAAAGAGGTAGTTTCGACACACCACAGAGTGCTTCATTCCCTAAAAACGATTGCACTGTAAAGTTTGCAAATGGTCCTCCGCCTGGAATTTTTCCTTGAAGCCTATTATATGATAAATTCAAGTACTTGAGGAGAAAAAGTTTCTCCAACGACGTGGGAATCTCGTCTGATAGGTCATTAAAAGAGAGGTCCAAGAATTCCAGACTCAGCAGGTTGCCTAAGGATTGTGGGATTGGGCCTTGGAACCGATTCTTTGATAAGCTCAAATAATTTAGTCTTTGCAGGTTGCCTATAGTAGCTTGAATATTACCAGTCAACCGATTGGAAGACACATCCAGTTTTTCTAATAGGTTCAAATTTCCCACTTCCGGAGCCAAATCGCCTTCCAAAGAATTATGTGACAGGTTCAACAATAAGAGATCTGTTAGGTTCCAGAGGCTCTGGGGTATTTTGGATATTAACATATTGGAACCGATGAAAAGGAGCTTTAGCCGATAGAGATTCCCCATGCAGTTTGGTAGGTGCCCAGAGAGCTTATTATCCTCGAGAACCAGTTCTCCCAACTGTACCAAAGAACAGAGACCATCCGGAATGGATCCTTCTATTTTGTTATGACTGAGGTATAACCTTTGAAGTTTCTTTAACCCTCCAATTGTTGGAGGTATGGTTCCACTGAGTTCATTGGCGCTGAAATTAAATGTGATTAAATTGCTCAAGTTACCAATTCCTATAGGAATACTACCCTTGATATGACTCTTTTCTCCTCGGAAAGCTTCAAGAGAATTAGAAAGATTTCCTATAGAATCTGGTAGGATGCCATTCAGTGGATTACTCCCAATATACAAGTATTTCAAAAATCTACAACTTGTCAGGGAAGTGATAAATGTAATTTCTTGGAGAGAGTGAGGTTGCTTAGTTAGCTGATTGTCTTCTATATCAAGAATTCGAAGCTGTTGCAAATTTCCCAATGTTTTTGGGACTGGTCCGTTGAAGAAATTACTGCTTAGATCCAGAACAGTTAACTGGGAAGCGTTTGTGATAGAAAGAGGTACTGGTCCACTGAGACGATTCCCAGTTAGATATAGTCCTTCGAGATTGGGAGTCAGAAGTCCTATATTTGTTGGAAGATACCCTGAAAGGTGATTTAATGGAAATGCAATAACTTTCAGGGTTGAGATGTTAAAGATCTTTTGTGGTATTGATCCCACAAAGTTGTTGATGCCCAACATCAAGATTTGCAAATTTTGCAGATGGCCCAATTCTTCAGGGAGGACTCCAATCATGTTATTGACTCCCAATTGAAGTAGTGACAGTTTTGAAAGATTACCCATGGATGGAGGAAGAGTACCTGTGAAAGCATTGTGGTCTAGATAAAGCCCTTCAAGGTTGGATAAGCTTCCAATTTCTCTAGGCAGAATTCCACTAAAGTTGTTGCGAGCTAATGCCAGATTTTGGAGATTTGTGCATTGGCATATACTAGAAGGCAAGATTCCATTAATTTGATTGTTGCTTAGAGCAAGGTCTACAAGGTTAGGAAGGCGAAGTCCAATATCCATGGGAAGATCACCGGAAATGCTGTTGTTCATGAGATATATAGCTTGCAGACTTGAGATGTTAAATATATTATAAGGAATGGGACCTGTCAATTGATTGGCAAACAAAGCCAATTCCTGTAAATTCAGCAGATTACCAAGCTCCTTTGGAATACTTCCTTGTAGGCTGTTGGAGAACAACTGAAGCCTTTCTAACAATGATAGGTTGCCAATGGAATTTGGGATAATGCCAGTAAGACCATTATCTGCAAGGAACAAGAGATGAAGGTTAGGTAGCATTACAAGCTCTGGTGGCACTTCTACAGTGACTTTGTTGTTTGACAATGACATTTCTTCATCATCAATTAAGTTCCCTCCCCTAGCAAGGGTAATGAAGATGGTATAGTAGTGCTAGTAGTAGGGTTCTGACCCAATCAATGTGACCCATCCATTAACCTTCTTGTTTACGTAGTGAATTGGAAGAAGGTTGGAGATGGGCTGAATCATCCACTAGATAATCTTAAATGGGTTAGGTTTGTTTTGGTTGTGGCCTTGTGGGTACGTGTATAATGTATATCCACTCCACTCAGAAACAGAAGTACTTTCCTATGTAGGTGGTGGGCCATAATTAAATTATAAAAACATAAAACAAGTAATATACAAAAATTATAGAAATTTTGTAAAAGAGAGTCGGCCATGTCTCTAATATTCTACATTCATAAAGGCAAAAATTAAAAAAATTAAAAGGTGAATAAATATTTAACCCATGACCCACTACTTGAGTCAAACAGTTCAACAGGTCAATTGGAAAATTTATAGGCGGTTGACAAGGACGACCGTTGTTGGGTCAAATTATCCAACCATCTGGTTCAAACCCCGGTCAGATCGTTCTTGGGTCCAAAACTGGATCTGGACCCATAACCAGTTCCTCGGTCAAATGATCTGATCGTCCAGTCCAGCCTGGCTTTCAGAAACATGACATGTGGATCTGTCCTACCAGTAGGTTTTACTAAGACAAAAGCAATGTTGGCAAGTACGATCTGGTTGTTTCGGAGTTCACATCTCCTCCCCACAAGGGGCCGCCCTACAATATACCACAACACATCTCCACCGTGTATTGAAAACATATCCGATGATGGGGAGGAGATGTGATCCCGTTGCTTTGCTAGACTGCTTAAAGGACAAACAAGTCCAGCTTTCCAGTTGGTGGGTTGGATAGAAGAACTCTACATGCTCTCTCACCTTTTCTTATCTCCTTTCATCTTCAACTTGATGTCTAACTATCATCATCTCATTAATTCCCATTGTTCTTCCACTTCAGTTCAAAATTCAAATAATGTATAATTACATCCAATAACTCTGATTAAACCTTCTATATCTATACTAGCTAGTATAAAATGTGGAAATAGCTCTCCACGTCTTTTTAATTTTTTTTACTAAAATATGAGAGTATAAATTGTAATTTTAATACTACTATTCATTTCATTATATTCCCTCTTAAGTCATTAATTCCATTCTCTCTCATTAAACTTTATATTAATTTTAACATCAAGTTTCATTAATTAAATCCGTGAAAATATAGAGAAATTATCTAAAACTCACCCTTGCTTTTCAACATTTCTCTTAATATCATCATAACTTTTTAAAACATCCAAGGAATCCAATGTCAATGAATTTTTGTTTTCCAAAACTCACCATATGTTAGAGCATCATTAACTTTCATTGATATATAAAGTTGTCCAGTAGCATAAATGCAATTTTCATGGCCAAACTGCCCCTAAATGGTGAATCAGCCTTATTAAATAAATTTTTATGACTAAACTGCCCCTAAACCCCCAACTGCAAAACCCCATTTTGAAAGCTTTCAAAACACAATTTAGAAGCCTCAGTCAAACTCCCCTCTCATCCAAGCCCTAGCCGGTGAATAGACCTCCAGCAAACCCTTACGCACTCTTTGTGCCCTGGGTGAATATCGGCTTCATTCTGGGCATTTGTGTCCAGAATCTCTAGTTTTTCAGTTTCATCGTATAGCATGAGTATCAGAAGCATGAACATCCCGGCTGATGTATGAAACTTCTGAATTCCCAACCAAATAAAAAACTAAAAGCTAAACAAAATTGAAACGGACTGAATATTATAAGGCCCTCTCAGGACCAACCTTGAATTATTCTGTGGACCTTTGGGGCCTCATCTATGATAATCTGTGAACAGGTTTATCCCTTTATAGACGGTTTTTGATAGGTTAGTTGTTTAGTGGGATTTACCAAATAAACTAAGAACAAGTTCGCTTGCACATGGAGGGGACTGACGGTGCTCTGTTCGATGGTTCAACAGAGCTTGGCTTTCTGTGTACGTAGGCTGTAGTGGAGGAGAAAGAAGAAGAGAAGAGGAAGGGAAGGAGGAGGACGAAGGAAGGGAAAGAAAGAAGTAGAGAAGAAGAAGAGAGAGAGAGAGAGAACTCTATTTTTTCGTTAAAATGCCCATAGCATCAAGTAAGAAGGGCTCGCGATCGGTGCACTGGACGAGTGAACCCGCAAATCAGAGTTGCATGTCGACCAGGAGAAGGAACGCGTACCGTTAACGTTCCAAGTCCAGTTAGTCGGGTTCGGCCAAAATGACAAAATGGAGATCAAAACCCGTGACAAATCTCATTTTTGACTTTCCCCTGTATGCTTTTCCCCTGGAGACCAAACCCTACACACACTGTGACCTGAACCGGTGACCGTCAGCGGTGACGACAGGAGTTCCAATAGTACGTTTCTCTCTCTTCTTCTTCTCCTTCTTCTTCTTATGCTCTGGCTTTGAGTGCGCATTTCTTTATATTGGCAGTAGACCTCTTCATGGCCGGGCTCGAGTTTGGCTTTTGCCAAATACACAACACCGAGTTCAGGTCTCTAATAAATAGTTTGGTCACTTGGTTGTTAGAGATAATAAGAAAATTTTGAAAGATTCAAGATGATTGAACATGGTGTTAGCGAGTAGAGTGTAGGACATGGTGTTGTTGCCTATGAAGAAATCGGTTTTTGAAACTAAGCGGAAGATTCAAAAAGAGATGTATTGGTGGTGGATTCGAGTTCATCCCATTGCCGCCTCTAATGCATTATCAGAATTTGAAGAACAAAGCCGAAGAATTATCAATGGATGAGCAAATAATGGGCTAAAGGGGTGTGAAGTGTGAACTGTGAAGAAGGGGGGCTGTGGTGAATACTGAATAGAGATGATTACCTGCAAGTGACAGGACACGAAGCTTAGATAGCATCCCAAGCTCAGGTGGCACATCTCCGGTGCACTTGTTGGATGATAATGAGATGACTTGAAGCTCTTGGCATTTCGATAAACTGGGCGGAATTATTCCCTCCAACTGATTGTTTTCCAAATGGAGCAGCCTCAAACGAGGCAAATAGCCAAGCCCATAAGGTACCTGGCCATGGAAATTGTTGTTGCTGAGGTCCAGTACCGTGAGGAAGGAAAGGTTGCTCAACTGGGGCTCGATGGTGCCTGAAATGCCCATAGAAGAAAGATTCAGGGCAGTGATTCTTTTCCCATAACCACTGCAAGAAACTCCAATCCAGTTACAAAACGACGAGTTGGTGCTCCATTTTTCTCCCAAGACGTTGGAATCTCGATCAAAAGTTAGCTTTGCTTTCCAGGCTAGCAAAACTACTGACTCATCGCTTATGTTTGATGAAGATCTAACCAGCCATACCATGCATGAACTCAACAACAATTGAGTATGGAAATATATGAAGGCCGCCTTTCCCATGAAATTAACTTGTAACTGCAACTAGTGCTTCCTAAACCGGACTTGTATGAAAGCAGGTTGGAGATTACCTTGCTGTTTAGCTGATATATAGAAGTTGAGATACCTTCCTAGCAAAAACACGAAGACTTGTGAGTCAACCCAAAACGAATAAGTACTTAAATATGCCAAAAGGTCAAAAAGTCAAAAATATTGTTAGGATTGAATTGGGAGTCTCCGTGATTAGGTGACTCCGCTGAGTTAGGATCGAATTAGGAATAGGAGTCTACGTTTTGAGTTTGAGTTCCTGTAAACTTAGGAGATTCGATGGCTGTGTATGGCTGTGCATATATATCTGAATCTTCAATGAATGAAAATAAGAAAAAGCAAACCAGAAAAGCTTTGGTTTTACATGGTATCAGAGGCACGAGAGGTCTGTGCTCCAAGACCTCTGGAGATCAGTGGCGGCAACAACGATATTTGGTGGCGGGAAAAGGAGAAACTCTGCACGCCAGATTTTGTTCGAGACTCCGTCTTCCACAGAGTTTGATCTTTGCCTTCGTCCTACCAAGACTGCAACCGGCGGTGGAAGCGGCAATCTGTTACCAGCTGTGCGAACACTGAGAGGCGAGAATCGTTCTAGCAGCGGCGATCCATTACTAGTGTCGCCTTTCGTACCAGTGGCGGCGATCTGTTACCAGTGGGCGATCTGTTACCAGCGGCGGCGATCCATTACCAGTGGTCGTGTTTCGTTCCGGTCGCAGCAATCTCTTACCAGCGGTAGCGATCGTGTTTCGTTCTGGTGGCGGCGATCTCTTACCAACGGCGACGATCTGTTACTAGTGGGCGATCTCTTACCAGCGACAGCGATCCATTACCAGCGATCACCTTCTTTCTGGAGCAAAAGCTTTAGAAGAGGTTGGTTGCGGATGACTCGCAAGTTCGGTTGCAATCCCAAATCCGACGAGCTGCTTTTATAAGGATTGACGCGCGAGTTCGGTCAGTGCAATCCCAAATCTGAAGAGCAGTTTTTTTTAAGGACTAAAGCCCATCGATGAACGAAAACAAAGAAAAAGAACAGAGCAGTGGTCAATTGACAAGGAATGTGATCTCGCCCTACCTTCTATCAACCAATGACAATCCAGGCAGCATTATCACACAGATCTAGCTTAGAGGCAACAACTATGATGAATGGGCTTGAGCAATAAGAACGGCGCTGCGAGCCAAGAAAAAATTCGGCTTCATCGATGGATCGGTGAAGCAACCTCCGGACGATTCGGTGGAATTGGAAGATTGGTGGATGGTAAATTCCATGCTTGTGTCATGGATTCTGAATACGATTGAACCTAATTTACGTTCAACCATAACGTACACTAAGATTGCGCAGACACTCTGGGACGACATAAAGGAGCGATTCTCTGTCGGTAATGGACCACGTGTTCAACAAGTCAAATCCGAGCTGACAAATTGCAAACAAAGAGGAATGACAATTCTGAATTACTATGGCAAACTCAAGATGATTTGGGAGGAATTGGGAAATTATGAGCAATATCCCACTTGTCAATGTGGAAAGTGCAGCTACAACATAAGCAGGGCATGGGATAAGAAGCGAGATGAAGAGAAACTTCATCAATTTTTGATGGGGCTAGACGACACGGTCTATGGAGGTGTGTGTTTGCATATACTAAGTACAGAACCCTTGCCAAGTTTGAATCGAGCCTATGCTATAGTAATTCGAGAGGAGCAAGTTCAAACCATGACTAGAGCAAAGGAAGAGAAGACTGAAGATGTGGCCTTCGTAGCCCACGCAGGGAAGAGGCAAAGTGAAGGCAGAGACAAGAATGTAGTATGTACTCACTGCAACAAGGCAGGCCACGATACAGAGTCTTGTTTCCAACTGATCGGCTACCCTGAATGGTGGGGCGATTGGCTGAAGAATAATGCTCGTGGAATAGGCTGAGGACGTAGTGGACAGAAACAAGGAGCAGGGGCAGGCGGAAAAGGACGTGGTGGCCAAGTCAAAGCCAATACAACCAAAGCCTCTGCGCAAGGCAATGTGTCTCAAGGAGAATCAATTGATGCAGCCAAGACTGGGATAAATGGACTAAATAGTGAGCAGTGGAAGAGGGGCGTCAACAACTAAGTGGTAAGCAAAAACTATCAGAATGGATAATAGACACAGGGGCCTCTCATCATATGACAGGAAGCCTTAAGTCAATGAGAGACATAAAGAATGTCATTCCGTGTTCTGTCGGGCTACCAGACGGGAAAGCGACAATAGCTGAGAAAGAAGGCATAGTTGCACTGGACGATCATCTGAAACTAACTAGTGTTTTATATGTGCCTAGTTTGAATTGCAATTTACTTTTTGTCTCGCAATTGATTGAGGAATCGAATTGTGTTGTCCGGTTCACTAATAAATTCTGTGTGATATAGGACCGCACTACAAGGATGCTGATTGGAGCGGGTGAGCAGAGAGAGGGACTCTATTATTTCCAGAGCATTACATCAACAAGAGCAATGAAGACTACAGAGAGCAGAACGTGGGATATTTGGCATCAAAGGTTAGGGCATCCTTCTTATAGAATTGTTAAGTTGCTGCCTTTTATTAGCACTAAGAATAATAATGATGACAGTATTAAGGGTTGTGATGCATGCTTCTGAGCTAAACAATGTCGAGAAGAATTTGTTTCTAGTAATAATAAAGCATATGATATTTTTGAGTTAATTCATTGTGATTTATGGGGCCCATATAAAACTGTAGCCTCTTGTGGTGCTCATTATTTCTTGACCATAGTAGACGATTTTTCTAGAGGCGTTTGGATCTATCTTCTGGTTGATAAGACGAAAGTGGGACGAGTTCTTCGAATTTTTTTTGCTATGGTTCAAAGGCAATTTAACAAACCTGTAAAGGTGATCCGTACTGATAATGGGACTGAGTTTGTCTGCTTGGGTAGTTATTTTATTGAAAGTGGTATTATTCATCAAACCACTTGTGTCGGGACCTCTCAACAAAATGGGAGGGTTGAGCGTAAGCACCGCCACATACTCAATGTTGCCCGAGCCTTGCACTTTCAAGCTAGCTTGCCTATTGATTTTTGGGGGGAATGTGTTTTGACCACATGCTATTTGATCAATCGGACACCATCCATTATGTTGAAAGGAAAGACTCCCTATGAAATGCTATTTGGGCAACCTCCTTCTTATGATAATGTGCGAGTTTTTGGTTGCTTAGTATATGCGTGCAATCATGGACATGGAGGGGATAAATTTGTCAATCAGAGCAGACGGTGTGTTTTTATTGGGTATCCTTTTGGAAAGAAAGGATGGAGCTTGTATGACTTAGAGTCCAACAAATTCTTTGCATCTAGAGATGTTACTTTTTTAGAGCATGAATTCCCATATGCACACAAGGAGGTTGCACAGCCAAACAAAGCTCAATGTCAATTTAATTATGGAATAGGTGCGATAGATGAGGTGTTGGTACCATCCACTTGTTTACCTGGACTAGCAAATGGTGAGATGGAGATTACGCAGCGAGGTGAACTCGCTGAAGGAGTCCGTGTAGAAGAAGGAACCTACGTAGACCCAAATGCAAATATTGGTGAACCCATGCATTCTTGTGACACCACCACAGAGAATGCAACCGAAGACAGTTCTGATGTCAGAGGGGGTAGTGATGTTGAGCAACAACAGCACTCTGAATTTCATTTGGGGCGTGGGGGCCCCAGGGGATTTCAGGAGCATTTTGACGCCGACCCATGCTCTTCAAAAGAGTAAAGAGGCCATCTTCCCCGAGGAGGTCGCGTCATGGACTGATCTCCCTCTGCATCAAGTGGCCTGTCGTGCCGTTACCCATGCCATGGTGGTAAGTGTTCTCCTTTTTTAGCTCTTTGGCTTTTGTTTTGTTGGTTCTTTTGATCATTCAGTCTCTTTTGGCAGGTGAATTCTTCCATTCACGCCTTGGCGACTCAGGTGGAGATGAGCTCGAGGCAGGCGCGAGCTGCCGAAGAGGCTCGTCGTGCGGCCGAGGAAGCCGCTCGTGCTACTGAAGAGGCTGCTCGTGCTGCTGAAGAGACTGCTCGTGCTGTTGAAGAGACTGCTCGTTTTTCCCGGATCAGGCAGGCGAGGTCTCAGAGAGACGCCGAGGCCATGGGAGTGGTGGTGAAGCACATGGCGGACTTGAGGCTGGATCTACAGCATCAGGTCGAGTATCTTCAGAAGGACATCAGGGAGAGGACGTAGATCTTTTCCCAAGGTATCGAAGATGCCAAGAAGAAGGCCGTCGAAGAGTACATCGCTTCGCTGGGTTTTGATGATCTGATGGTGAAATCATATAGGAGGGATTTTAAACTAAGCCGGTGGATGATCCGGAATACGTACCCCGAGCTCGATGTTAGCGCCATATCCACTTCGCGCATAACTCAGGAGATGGCTAATGCTGCTGACGCCGAGCTAGACTCCGAGGGCGAGGCGGGGCCTTCGGGTTTTGTCGAAGTGCCTTCTAACGATGATGAAATAGCTCCTGGCTTGTAAACCTTTTTATTTTTTGTACTACTCTACCTTTTGGAATGGAAGGATTTGTTTAAGTGCTGAGCATATTTGTCGAACTGAGCATTCTCTCCCGAACTGAGCATATTTTCTGAACTTCATGTATTTGCCGAACTGACCATTCGTTCGATCTATTTTCTACCTGAGTTAACCGCACTCGCGCGGACTATTTTCTTTGCTTGCTTGTGCCGAGATTCCTTCGTTAGCTCGGCATCTTAGCCCATAGGCTTTGGTGGTGATTTTACCCATTTCGCTTGGCGGTCTATAGATAGTATCGCCTTAGGTTGACAATGTTCCATGCTCGGGGTACTTGTTTTCCCTTTAGGGTTTCGAGCTCGTATGCCCCCCCGAGTGCTTTCTTTACTCTGTAGGGTCCTTCCCAATTTGGTCCAAGTTTCCCTACGCCAGGTTCGGGCACCATGACTACGGAGAACTAGGTCGCCAATGCGGAAGTTCCTCTTCTTTACTCTGGCGTTATAGTACCGAGCTACCTTTTGCTGGTAGGCCGCAGTTTGGATCTATGCGAGGTCTCTCACCTCGTCCAGAAGGTCGAGGTTGGTACGTAACTCACCTTTGTTTGTCTGTTTGTCGTATACTCCTAGTCACAGCGTAGGTACTTCGATTTCCGCTGGGATTACCGCCTCGGTGCCGTAGGTGAGGTTAAAGGGGGTCTCTCCTGTGGCGGTTTTTTCCGTGGTTTGGTGAGCCCATAGAACACTTGGTAGCTCGTCTGCCCACAACCCTTTAGCTCGGTCTAGTCGTGCTTTCAGTCTGCGGAGGATGGCTCTGTTCATTACTTCTGTTTGGCCATTTTCCTATGGGTGTGCAACCAACGTGAAGTTCTGACTAATTCCCATACTTTGGCACCATTCTTGGAACTTGATATCCT